AGCTCTGTGAGCGTGTGTTGGGAAACCTGGTCTCTGGTTTGAGGCTCGAGGCTTCGGCTGCAGAGTGACCTGCACGGTCTGTGTGTGCCCGGGGCTCTGCAGAGCGACCCTCTCAGTGTCCAAGGGGGGAGACCTGGCTTGAGGCTGGATGTGGGGACAGGCTGTTGTGTCAGCGCTTGGACCCCCAGTAACCACCACCAAACCCCACTTTGTGTGCTGGCTCCAAGTGTTAAGTCCACATCCTCTCCCAGAGCGGCTGTTACACGCTGGGATGGACGATGAGGAGATGGGGAGGGAGGTCTGGAGATGTGGGGTGAGGAGGGGGCTCCCCGGACACCTCTGCAGCCGGGTGCACTGTGTTGTCAGATCTGGAACGACTTCATGAACCGGTCGGGAGAAGAGCAGGAGCGAGTCCTGCTCTACCTGGAGGAGAAGGCCGGGAAGACCAGTCAAGAGCGAAGACAAGTGGAAAGGTGCTGGGAGGGGACGCTGGGTGGGGAGAGCCTCTCCCTTTCCTCCCTGCTTGCTTTTTGGGAAGGGCTCTTTCCCAAGGGCTGCATCCTGCTCCCTGCACCATCGGCTCCTGGGGGGAGGGGTGGATAAGGGACCTGACCTCATCATAACAGGGGGGTTATTCCCAGCAGATCCCACATGGGCCTGGGGGGAAGTTGGGAGCGTTGGGGTGATGACTGCACCCCCCCCATCTCCACATGCTCCCTCACTGGGGAGGGGAGGCTGCAGCTGGTCTGGGGGTGACTTTGTGCAGACCCACAACGGAAGGAGGTGGTGGCCGGGGTGCGATGAGGGGGGTGTTGGGCTCCTTCCCAGTGGTGATTCCATGTGGATTCCACCGCGGGCACCAGGGCTGGGAGCTGTGTCCAAGCCCCTTCTGTGTTCTCTCCGCTGGCCCCAGAGCACGCATCCTACTCGCCCCAGGAGTGCTTCCAGCGCATCAGCCGCCGCCTGCGCGCCACCCTGAAGCGGGGCCGGATCCCCATGGTGAGCCGGGGGCTCTGGGAATGCTGGGGTGGGAATGGAGCCGTGTCCCAGGGGCTGTGCAATGTCGGACCCGCTCCTGGGCAGCGCGCTCCGGTTCTCATGCGACCTGCGGCTGGGCACACACAGACGTCCCGCTCCCGGCACATGGGGTTTCCTGGCTCCGTTCGGAGTGTTCTGGTAGTTACAGGCTGTTTTGCTGTGGCTGTTTCGATGAGCAGCAGGTGATGGGGTAACCCAGCGTGTTCACCCCCAGGGAAGCCTTCGGAGTGCTCCACACGGGCTATTTGGGAACACTCCAATGTGTTTTCAAAGGGTTAAAACTGCGTGAGCTGCGCTCCCGGCACATGGGGTTTCCTGGCTCCGTTCGGAGTGTTCTGGTAGTTACAGGCTGTTTTGCTGTGGCTGTTTCGATGAGCAGCAGGTGATGGGGTAACCCAGCGTGTTCACCCCCAGGGAAGCCTTCGGAGTGCTCCACACGGGCTATTTGGGAACACTCCAATGTGTTTTCAAAGGGTTAAAACTGCGTGAGCTGCTGAGCCCGCAGTGGAGCCTGGATGGGGAGGGAAGCCCTGGGAGCCTGCTCTGCCTGCCCCGAGCCCCGGGTGCCCTGTGCTGCTGTTCTGCTCTGTTTTCTTTGCTCTAATTAGTCTCTTTGAGCAGCCCCGGCTCCTCCTGCCCGCTGGCTTCTGCTCGGTTTGTTCTCAAATGAGACTTGCTGCTGCTGGTCTCTGGGTCGTGGTGCTCCAGAGACCTGCATTGAGCCGGTCGTTGGCTGCTGGGAGAAAAGGAGATGTGGGGCACGAGGCCGTGCTGGCTGCTGCCAGCTCTGAGCGTGGGGAAGGTGCCAGCCCTTGGCACACGAAGTACGGGGTTGGCAGGAGCTGGATCCTTCCTTGCCCTAGGGGCTGAAGAGAGGAGATGTCTCCTTTCCCTGCTCCTTCCTGCTCTCTCACATCCATTGACTTGCCCGGGAGCTGCTGGCAGCAATCCCTTGGGAATCAGAGGCTCCATCACTGCTGCCCTCCACTCACTGACACCTCTCCTTACAGGGCACGCTGGAGGGGCTGGAGGAGGAGCTGCTGGCCTTCTTCTCCGTCACCCCTCACTCTGTCTACACGGCACTGATGGACAACAGGTACTTGCCCAGCTCGGGCTGTGCGGGGTTCCCGGCTCATCCCGGGGCACTGGGGGACCCCTGCACAGGGGCACGTGGCACTTTGTGCTCCCCATCTCGGGTCCATGGAAGGAACAAGGGCAGTGCAAGATGCTGGTCTGGGCTGTGCTGGTTCTAACCCTGTCCCCATCTCCCCCAGCTTCGAGCGGCTCCTGCTCCACGCACTCTGCCAGTACATGGACCTCGTCTCTGCCAGTAGGAGCCTCGTGTTGGCTTGTTTGGGCTTGGGGGTTTGTTTTTGGGGGTTTGTTTTTGTTTTTCCCTTCCCTTCCTCGCTATCTCCCCTCTCCAGCTCAGCCTCTTCCTCCCTCCCTCCTCCTGGCCCCACCTTGAGCTGCAGCTCATTGATAAACCCTATGCT